TTTGCTCACTAGTAACATTACAATTTTGAAACTACCTTCCAAAAGGTTGCATACACACACCCCCACAAAGCGCCTTGCTAAGGGAGCTGATTTTGTCAGGAGGGAGCGTTTGCTGAGCAAACCTTTTATTATTGAATCATGGTTCATGAAATAAAAAACGCTGTACGACTTCTAATTTCACGAGAGGCAAAGTGATTCAAGAAAACTCTTTAAGATTAATTAATACCATGTTCTGACCGACATCGAAAACATGTTTTCGTTGCAAAAACTGGGTTTCGACCTAAAACTTGTGTTATCGTCCATGTAAAATCTGTCAAACGAAAACCAGTTTTCGCTGAAAACTACTTGAAAACTCACGTTCTACTGATTATCGGTGTCTTCACTAGTTTTTTTCGATTATTTATCGAAGTGGAAATCATATTTTATCATCTTTAATACGCAATTTCGGATTTATTGTTAATTGGCTAGCCTAAGTAAAATAAGAATGAAAGTAAGAGGTTGTAAACGAAAAGAAAATGAAGGAAAAGTATTTTGGTTTTGTTTTTGTGTAGAAAACTGTAATCAAAATATGTAAGAGATGTCAACGAAAACACTAATAGCCGGTGTGAACAGCCTTCAGCCCACAATCCCAAAACCCGTTTTCAAAGTGTTTTCGTTGTCGGTCAGAACATGGTATAACATATCAATGGCTGAGTGGAAGATCGACCTATCTCAGAAAACTTTTCAAGAACGCCCTACTTCAGAATTGGATTGAAAAACGCCCTATTTCAGAATTTTATTGAAAAACACCCTATCTTGGAATTTGGTTGAATAACACCCTATCTCAGAATTCGTTTCAAAAACGTCCTATCTCAAACGAAAATACATTGAAAATAAGCTGAGATAGGGCGTTTTTGAATCGGCAGCTGAGACACATTCCCACGATAGCCGGTTCTACGTGCCAGAATGACTCGGGTTTTACCCGACCAAGGGCTGTTGTTTCGGCGACCTAACCCCGATTAGATCGGCGATACCCTTCAATCATTTTTCGTCCATGGAGCAACTCCTTGTAGCCGGATTGCTCCGCATCCTCCTTCTCCGGGCGGGCGTTGAGCCCATCCCCGGACCAGAAACATATCTCTGCTGTGTTTGCCATACTTCACCTGCCACCTGACCCCAGCGAAGCATCAGCACGGATTCCGTAAAGTGCACAGTACAACAACAGCACTTACCGCCATAAACACCCAAATAACTCGTGGCCTAAATCGAAACCGCCCCTGTGAGACAACGGTCCTAGTAGCGTTGGACTTGTCAAAGGCGTTTGACACCGTCTGCCACGCTACTAGAAGACATTGAGGCCTCCTCACTCCCATAGGGACTGAAGCGATGGTCGGCGAATTATATGAGTGGTCGACAGTCGTCAGTAATCTTCAGAGATCAAACCTCGAAACCAAGAAGAATTAAACAAGGGGTTCCACAAGGTGGTGTTCCCTCCCCCTAATTATTTAACTTCTACATCTCGGAAGTTTCCCCACCCACCTGAGGGAGTTTCCCTGATCTCATACGCTGACGATTGCTCGATTTTGGCGTCCGGGAATGGAATTGATGACCTCTGCTCAAAAGTAAACGACTATCTCTCCAGCCTTTCTCGCTTCTTCACTGCAAGGAGCCTAACACTCTCCCCAACGAAATCAACGGCGACCCTCTTCACCACCTGGACGAAGGAGGTCAGGCTATAATTAGGTATATATGTACGTCGATGGCACACCAATACCGACTGTAAACAACCCGAAAATTTTAGGGGTCACCTTCGATAGCCTGCTCTCCTACTCCACGCACACAACCGCAGTTGTCAATAAAGTACAGAGCCGTAACAAGGTCCTCAAATCGCACGCTGGCAGCACTTGGGCCAAAGACAAGAAACGTTGCTGGCTACATACACGGCAATTGGCCGGCTGCGCCAGTTTCAACGCCGGTGACTAGTTGGACGCAGTGGACGAAGCTACAGACTTGTCAGAACGCTGCACTCCGGACAGCGACTGGGTGCCTTCTGATGACGCCTGAGCACCACCTACACAGCGAGGCCCAAGTGCTCCCCGTAACGGAACACAACAAAATGCTTTGTAAGCAATTTCTGGTGGGGTGTCACAGAAGTGAACACCCAAACAGATCTTTGCTTCAGGAGGAGCCTCCGCCCAGGCACGTCAGGGGGCACCTGTTCGTATACAAGGACGCAGTCCAACAATACGTAGACCAACCACTGGACCCGACGACATACAGACGAGCCATCAACGACATCCATAGAGAGTCAGTTACCACCTACCTCGACTCTCGACCTATGAATGCCGTAATAGGAGCCGAATCACCACCTGTAGAAGAGACGGAGCTGCAATTGCCAAGAGAGACCCGCGTTACCCTGGCTCAATTACGGTCTGGGTACTGTAGCCGCCTCAACAGCTACCTGTCCAGACTCGACCCCAATATCCCCAATGAGTGCCCGGCATGTGGAGGATCCCCCCACGACACCAACCACCTTTTTACATGCCAGCTCAATCCGATTCAGCTAACACCCCTCTCCCTCTGGTCCGAACCCATTGAAACAGCTCGTTTCCTGGGCCTCCCGTTAGTTGAGCTTGACGAAAATGATTGAACGTAGACCCGAAAAAAGCGGGGCTTAGTAGTACCGCTACAACAACAACAACAAGAGCGACTTTGGCGACTTTCGCAGCAAACTAATTTTGTTTGGTCAAACTGCAGCAAATTCGGTGTTGTCATATACAAAAATTTTTGACAATTGTTGCTATACACAAAAATTGTCGTGATACCGAAAGCCAGAGAACTGAATTTATGCTGTAGGAGCTTCAAAGATTAGGGCACAGTTAATTGCCTATACGATATCATAAAAAATATATTAATTGTGCGCGTTATGTACATCTGAAATTCTCATTTCGTGTTGGCAATAGCCATGAAAACCGTAATGAACGTGCAACCCTGTGCCAAACTCGACATAACCACCTCCGAGCAAACTAAGCAGCCGCCATTTAATTTGGTAAACAAAAGTTTGTCTGCATAACACCGACCTTAGAGGATCTTTGTCACAGCGACCATTTCCCGATAATCACCACAATCAATTTGACACACAACACCGAAAAACACCACACCGAAAAGAAATTTCTACTCAACTTCGCTGATTGGGCAAAATTCACTCAATCCGTCGAAGAGGAACTTTCGGAGAGACCGATTTATGTAAACATTAATCAAGAAGCAAATTATACCACACTGTCTCGTCCTCGAGATCAATAGCTTGTAGTAATGCCAGTTGCCATATCTAGTCACAACATTTCACAATTCTAAAAGAATTTTGTAGAATTTCACGAAATGTGGCAGCCCTTGGCTTGGTCTGGCATCTTAGCATTCGTTTCTTCATTACGTTTTGTTGTGCTGATCTAGTCCACAATATAACCAGTAAACAACCTAGGGTGAATTTGGCGACTGCCTTCCTCGGGGATTAATATGCCAGGGATGAAATAATTGGTACACACGCTTTCTAAGCACGCAGGGCTGCTTTTGAGAAACAAAAAATAATTAACGCCAGTTTCAACGCCGGTGACTAGTTGGACGCAGTGGACGAAGCTACAGACTTGTCAGAACGCCGCACTCCGGACAGCGACTGGGTGCCTTCTGATGACGCCTGAGCACCACCTACACAGCGAGGCCCAAGTGCTCCCCGTAAGGGACAACAACAAAATGCTTTGTAAGCAATTTCTGGTGGGGTGCCACAGAAGTAAACACCCAAACAGATCTCTGCTACAGGAGGAGCCTCCGCCCAGGCACGTCAGGGGGCACCTATTCGTATACAAGGACGCAGTCCAGCAATACGTAGACCAACCACTGGACCCGACGGCAACAGACGAGCTATTAGCGACATCCATACAGAGTTAGTCACCACCTACCTTGACTCTCGACCTATGAATGCCGTAATCGGAGCCCAATCACCACCCATAGAAGAGACGGAGCTTCAATTGCCAAGAGAGACCCGCGTTACCCTGGCTCAATTACGGTCTGGATACTGTAGCCGCCTCAACAGCTACCTGTCCAGACTCGACCCCAATATCCCCAATGAGTGCCCGGCATGTGGAGAATCCCCTCACGACACCAACCACCTCTTCACATGCCAGCTCAATCCGACTCAACTGACACCCCTCTCCCTATGGTCCGACCCCATTGAAACAGCTCGTTTCCTGGGCCTCCCGTTAGTTGAGCTTGACGACAATGATTGAATGTTGACCCGAAATAGGCGGGGCTTAGTAGTGCCGCTACAACAACAACATAGGGCGTTCTTCAACCAAATTTTGAGATAGTTCGTTTTTCAATCAAATTCTGAAGAAGGGCGTTCTTGAAAGGTTTTCTGAGATAGAGCGTTGTTGAAAAATTTTCGGAGATAGGGCGTTTTCGAACTGGCTGCCGAGATAGGTCGATCTTCCACTCAGCCATCGATATACTATTACTAGTATGTATGCAAAAAATTATTATTTTCCCTTTGCCTTTATGAAGCCTGCAGGCTTGCAAAGATAATTCTATAAAAATTACGATTGCGAAACGAAAAAGAGCTCTAATAATGAATTGCTGAAATTTTGTTTTGCAAAAAATACGGCAAGACAACACTTTTAAACAAACACTTTTAACAAAAATAACATTACTGGCTTATATTAATAGGAAAAAAGGAATTAAGTTGATGTTTTGTTACGATAGGAAAATTAGTATCTGATTTGAGTAATTTCGGCAATCTTTGAGGGCTTGTTACTTGGAGAATAAATAATAAAATTTCATAAAATTTTAGAATTAAGCTAAAAATAATATCAGTTTATAGATTTAATTAAAATATTAAGGAAAATATAAAATTTTCAAAATAAACTTTATCGTACGAAATCGGCATTTCGTTACATAGTATAACTACGAACATTTAATTGTGTAAAAATATGTATGAAAAAATAATCAAAACATATTTTTCCTCTCAATAGTTTCCAACATTCAACGAAAATGGTATCTGGTCGTCCACTTTTATATCTGTCATTACCGGGAGTAGTATTCATTCTCGGTGTTTTTTGGTACCGGCGTCGCAACAAAAATCGCGTAATTGGAGATACAACGGCGGGTGAGGAAGAAAAGTTGAATAAACAGCAATCATATGAATCATCAACACATCAAGCAGAAGTAACTAATATGCGGAGCATATCAAATCCCTTACCAAGTGACTCGGTAAACATAAATATTAAGAATTCAGACGAAGAGAGTCCAACCGTCAGACTTTTCGGCAAATCAGCTCCAATAAAAATTGTTCAGAATTCCAGAGGCTCTCCAGTCAAACAACAACAGGTAGACTCTGAGGTTTTAAAAAGTAAAATACAGGACGCGGAAAATAAGGTGCTTCGATCGATTGATGAAGATTTTGAAAACTTGTCGTCGCCAATCGATTTGCCAGACTCCGTTGATAATCGTATTGCATTTTATTCCCGAAACGTGAATTGCAAAAAAGACGCCCCTGTTGTAATAAGGGCAACTCGCACACCAAAAATATCACCAGAAAATTCTTTTCTTGAGAGTAAATATACTAAAGAGTGTGAAGAAAATAACAATTTAGAACCAATGGGATGTGTTAAAAAGGAAACTAAGGATGTAAACGATCAAGAAGAGTCAAACTTATCGTCGTCGCTGAAACAAAAAGAAAATGAAAAACATTCAATTAATCAACAAATCAGTAGCAAAGAGGCAACTACTGACGTTGCAACACAAGAATTGAGTGCAACTGACAATGGGAAGCGTAACGTTGATGCTGCTAGTCCTTCATTGAGTTTATGCAGTTTACAATCTGGTGACTCGGGAAAAGGCTCAAGCCTGCCACGTTCTGAAGCAAATCGTCTCAAAACTACCTACGAGTTTTTCTTCCCAAATAGTTTTGTTGGTCATTTATACGGCAGGAAACATTCATTTATTAACCAAATCAAAGCTAAAACCTCAGCAAATGTAGTTATACGTAAAACAAATTATGCAGGTAAATTCGTTTGCATATGCGCCATTGAGGGCTCCGAGAGTGAAATTAAATCTGCTTTGGCAATGATAAGGCAACGTCTACCCGCAAAACGCTATCCTAATTTTACAATGCAAAGGATACATTTTGCACCTCCTCAAACTGTAGTTCCTTTATCTACCGAAAGTTTGCTTAATCTACAGGCAAGTAATTTTTCTTTTTTAATTCACATATTCATCGGAGATTTTCTAATTTTTCAATGCAGCTTAACCTTATCGAAGGCATTAATAATGATATAATTGTTACTGCTGTCGTAAATGGCGCACATATGTTCGTTCAACATCCTTTACATCCTTCCCATCCTTCACTAGCTGTTATTCAAAAGTGTTTGTACGACAGCTACTCCACAAGTGAAGCACCTTTGCTGCCTGGAATCGAAATTAATGCTGTTTGCGTAATTCCAGTAAATGGGATATGGTATAGAGTTCAAATAGTTGAGCAAGATAGTGAAGATGAGCAGCGCTGTGTAGTTAAATTTTTAGACTTTGGAGGCTATATGAATGTTCATTTCAATGAATTACGGCAAATTCGATCAGATTTCATGACTGTGCCATTCCAAGCAACAGAATGTGTTTTGTCAAATGTGGAACCGATTGGTATGTATTAAAATGATATAGTAAGTTCATTGTACATTAATTGCGCAATATATTTTCCATCCAACTAGATTCTATCTGGTCACCAGAAGCGGCAGATATTTTATGCCAGCTAACCAAAGGAATTGTTTTACAAGCGCAGGTAGCGGGATATAATAGTCATAATATACCAGAAATTTACTTGTTCGCTTGCTTGGGTCCAAATGTGAGTATTATTTTTGAAATACATACACTTGTGATCAGCTAATTATGCCAGCACCATCTTGACAAATTTTGGCTATTTTTCTTTTGTTTATTTAATGTTTATTATTTTTTCATAGAAGTCTAGCTCATTATATAACAAACACCATATAAATCCACATTTCAAACTTTGTGCAAGATTTCAGCTAAATTTTAAACTTTTTATTCAGATTTTTCGGCCACTGTGGTGTAGTGGTAAACAGTGCGCGCTTCCACTCCGCAGCACCTGGGTTCAAACCCTGGTCACAGCAACATGGCAAAAAAATATAGAAACAAGGTTTTTTCTTAACAGCGGTCGTCCCTCGGCAGGCAATAGCAAACCTCCAAGTGTATTTCTGCCATGAAAAACAGCTTGTCATAAAAATACAATCCAATACAATACAAAACCGTTCGGAGTCGGCGTAAAACTGTAGGTCCCTCCGCTTTGTGTGACAACATCAAGGCGCACGCCACAAATCGGAGGAGAAGCTCGGCCAAACACTAACATATGTGTAAGCGCCAATCTATTGTTATTATTATTATTCGGATTTTTTAATGAGCAAGTTTTACGTTGGCAAAGAATCGCGCTGATTTGTAATCATTTTTTTCTGACTACATTACGCATTTTTTCCATACCAAATATTTATATTCGACGAAATATAATGAAACTGCAGATTTTTATAATTTTGGCACAAAGTTTGAAATGTGGATTTATTTATATGGTGTTTGTTATATAATGAGTTAGACTTTTACCAAAAAAATAATAAACATTAAATATACAAAAAAAAAAAAAAATAAAAAATTATCAAAATGTTGCTGGCTTAATTAGCTGTATGTATTACTGTAGCTGTAGCTGTAGTGTATGTACATAATTTTTAACTTGTATACTACTTTATTATAGATGTTTTGAAAATGTAAAGTTATTTGCAGAAGTTTATTTGTAGTGGATCGTTTTAGATTATGATCTTAAGGTCTACGGTTTCGTTTAAATCAGTGACATAACAGTTATAAGTTTTAACAGAGAAACGTTGTTCCAAACAGTTATTAGATGCTAAATATTTTTTATTGCGCCGATAAGACTTACAACCCAACGTTTGCCCGATAACTGTTATGCAGGACAAATATGTTTTCCGTCGCCAATAAGAGTTATTTCCCAACATTTATTTTTTAAGTTGCTTGATAACAGTTATGTCTCAACCTTTATATTTACGTTGCTTGATAACAGTTATTACCCAACATTTATTTTTACGTTATCTGATAACAGTTATTTGACTTCTCCTCTTTCATCATCTTTATCTTCTTCTCCATCTCCGTTTTCGTCAATATACTTATCTTACAACGTGTTTCAGACAACGTAAAAAGTAAACGTTGGATAATTACTGTTATCAAGCCACCACAGACTTATAAATCTAAGAAAAATCATAATCGTAAAAAATACGCGTATGATTTTTTGAAGCAAAGTTGGCAATTGCTTCGGAATGAACATTTCAAAAAAGTAAACTCCGATGTTGTCTGCGGTTTTCTGTATACTGAGATTAATCGCTATACATAATATAAAGAACGATACTGGTTGTTGTTGTTGTAGCGGCTACTAAGCCCCGTTCGGGGCGGTTCATCCATCAACGTTGTCGTCAATTTCAGCTAGGGGGAGGCCCAGGAAGTGTGCTACTTCCACAGGGGCTGTCCATAGGGACAGGGGCGTTAGCTGAGTGGGGTTCTCAGGGCATGTGAAGAGGTGCCGGGAGTCATGTGGCGACTCTCCACATGCCGGGAATTGGTTGGGCACATCTTCGTTAATTCTGCTCAAGTAGCTGTTAAGCCTGCTGCAATAGCCATAGCGAAGTTGGGCTATCTCCCGAGGCAGACAAAGTCCCGTCCACGTCCGGTGGTTGTGTGCCTAGAACGGCATTCACGGGGCGGGAGTCTACATAACTTGAGACTGATTCCCTGTGAATGCCGTTCAGGGCCTGTCGGTAGGTTGACGGGTCCAGAGGTTGTTTGATATACCTCTGGACTTCGTCTGTCAGTTCGTAAAGATGCCTCCCGTCGTGCCGTGGCGAGGGCTCTTCCGCGAGCAGTTGCCCGCTGGGATGGCCAGCAAGGAACTGCTTGCAGAGCATTATGTTATGCTCCTTTACTGGGAGCATCTGGGCCTCGTCATGAAGGTGGTGTTGAGGCGTCATCAGGAGGCATGCTGTCGCAGTTCGTAAAGCCGTGTTTTGGCAGGTCTGTAGATTCATCCACTGCGTCCTGCTAGTCCCCGGCGACCACACGGGCGCTGCGTAGTTTAGAACCGGCCGGCCAATTGCCTTGTATGTTGCCAACAACGTTTCTTTATCTTTGACCCAAGTGCTGCCGGCCAGCGACTTGAGGACATTGGTGCGGCTCTGTCCTTTGTTGACAATTGCGGTTGTATGCGCCGAGAAGGAGATACTAGTCGCCGCGGCTACTAGATCAGGAACTAAACACCAGTCGCTATACATAACTGGGCCAGTATGTCAGGCAATCTGTCCGGAAAGAAAAGAGGATATAATTTTCTTAAGCAGTTTGTAGGGTTCTTTTGTCTGCTTTAGCATTTACTTTCATCAAGTAAAAAAAGTATGTTAATTCGGAACAAGGTTAAATCTGACTGGTTTAAACTTAGTTTAAATGCTCTAGCTATCTGGTTTAAGCTAAGATTAGCCAATAAAATGTCAGCCAGCTGTTAAACATGAACGCAGTTTACGTAATCTCAAGTTCAAACTAGTACTGAAAAACTTGTCCAGTTTTTGATTAGCCTTATGCAGTGTTTATTTATTTTCGAACATTGGTTTTTCGTAGAGTGCACATTTACGAGAGCTACAAATCTTATGATTTTGATAAATAGTTGCGTTTTAGACGTTTATTCAGCTATGTTTGCACGAAAAAGAAGGAAACTTAACAAAAAAGCTACTAAAAAGGGATATCATAATTTAAACAAAAAATTCTATTTAAATAATAATACATATACAGGGTGTCCCAGAAGTAACGTGCCAAACTTTAGGGGAAGGTAGGTGGGGGGGTGAGCTCCTTGATAAACAAAAAATTTTCAGGTAAAAGTGTCACTGTTTTTGAAATATTTACATTTTTTCGAATTAAAAAAAAAATCGTGCCTTTTCATGTGTTTTCTTTAACTGCAACTACAAACCGGGCAATACTTAGTAAATTTTTTATGTAAAATACTTCCAGATAGTTGCCTCTCCATACTCCAATGCAATGTAGTTAAAATATATTAAGGAACCATCATAAAATTAGGACTTTTTCTGGATTTTT